ACATGGATATTCCGTTGTTATTGCATTCAGACAATGGGAGGTATCCGTGGTTGTGTAATTACTTTGAAGCTGCATGATTCAAAGCTCACCTGGGGCTGTAGAAGGAAATATCGTTTATTTGGTTTCTTGTTTGGTTTAGTTGGGAACATTGTGTTTCAGGAAAATATCGTAAGCTAATAAAACAGCTGATATTAGTCATCAACAAAGCTACTCATACCGTCTCACACCTTCTACACTCATCCTTCACATACTCGCGTAGGTGGCGTCCCCATCTCAATCTATATAATTAACTAGCTGTACCCGCGGGCTTTGCCCCGTTTAGCTTCATATGTGAGCTCGTTCGCATGGCTTAATCACGTCCTGGTTGAAGTTCGTTCGCTACGCTCACTCACCTTTAGGTTGGAGCTCGTTCGCTGCGCTCACACGTCCTGGTTGAAGTTCGTTCGCTACGCTCACTCACCTTTACGGTTGGAGCTCGTTCGCTGCGCTCACTTGCCTTCGGGTTAGCTCGTACGCTACGCTAACTCGCCTCCGGGTTGAAGTTCGTTCGCTACGCTCACTCACCTTTTGGTTGCAAATTAGCTGTTGTCATAAATTAAAAAATAATAGTGCTGCACTCTGTTGGTAATCCTTGTAACTTTAATGCTATTGAACATCACAGAACAGAACCAACTTGTTTAATTGAAACAGCTGTTATGATTCATTAATTCCATTTAAATATGAGTACTCTTTAGGTTAACATGGGAAACTCCAGAGCCACTGGGGCGGAGCCCGAGAGTCCGATCAGAATAAAAACCACTTAGTTTTCCTATTTAATGCCTAAAGAATCAGTGTACCAAATTTCAGTCTCCTAGGTAAGTGGGAAGTGGGAGAATTAGTGATGAGTGAGTGAGTGAGTCAGTCAGTCAGTCAGTCAGTCAGTCAGTCAGTGAGGGCTTTGCCTTTTATATATATAGATAGATACGCGACATGAAACTTTGTCGGTTGAACTCCTCCGCCATTTCTTAACCGATTTTATCCATTGACGTCTCATTGGAAAGAGCGTATCGCGTAGATTTGCAAACTGGCCTTACATTTTTGAAAAAGTTCCTTGGCTCTGCCCCAGTGGCTTCGAAAGTTCCCATTTTATCCTTATGCAGAACATAATTGTTTACATTCTGATCAGCTGTATAATATGATTGCAGTACATTTATTTACTATTTGAGTTTGTGTAAACATATCCCCCAAGACGGATCGTGTTAGTATGGTTGTATCTTAAATTTGTGCATTTATCGTGGTTTTGTGTAGCTATAATTTGTTTATTTGTTTCTTTCTTTTAAATTCCTCCGACGCGACGACAACGAAACATGGACAGGAGGCGTAGTAACTCATCACAGTCAGCACCTGACCCTGGACAATCTCAACTATTAGGTTACCAATGCGCCCTAACACTACCCCAAAACGAATTTTCGTTCTCAATTGGCCCTCTATCAATGACCTGTATTGCCTGTACAGCGAGGCATTTTGAGAAGGAGAAAACCGACCGGAATGCTTTAGGTTTATCAATAAAAAAGATAAACATGGATAACCTTATATGGCTATAAGTCAGGAAATGTTTGTAGAAAACATTAAAAAGCAATACCAGGTTACGAAATATGATCAAATATTTACAGGAAATGTTTATTACCGTTATATACATCGTGAATTTCTCCATGAGTTACACACCGATAATCTTTGAGTTGACTCTTTTAAACTCATTGTAAATATGACCTGTGCAATTCGTTTTGAAATCACTCCTGCAATACTTTGCAATTGCTCGAATTCGAGCAACATGTACACTAGTAATAGATAGTTTTGATAATAATCGTTATTTAGTTTGCACCGTTTTCTTTCAAATATGTCATTAAAACGAAATATTATGTATTACCATTGACTATACACACGCTGAGTATATCTATGCCTTAAATTATATGTGTGACGTGTACTGAATAATATTTAGTCTAAAAAGTAATTTACATAATACAACAAGTGGCTAATTTTACATTCAATGATTTAATTAAGAAAGGTTTTACCGTCCCAAGTAGAAAAATAGGATGAATCTGGGAGTTCTTAAGAAAACATTCAGTATAATAGGGGAAGGGAGAGACTCATTTTGTGTGTTTGTTACTGAGACCAGGTAAAGAATATCTCAGCCATTAACCAACAAGATAATGGCATCACAAGGGCCAAGAGTAGGTGGGTTCCTATTTCTTATATTAGAATAAGTTTCTAGTTTATACAGTTATGAATAGGTATAATGTATGAGGATGTGATTTTAGTATGTTAATAGACATGATCACCTCTTATGTGCGTTCAAGTATTTTCGAGTTTTACTCGCAATGTAAACATATTTGCTAAACATATTTGACAAATCTTCTCGTGGGACGGTTATCTCCTCTCCTGGGAGACATGCAGTTTATAATTTGAAATGTAGGCTTCTCTAGAACACTAGGTTATGTATGGCATTTTCATCCATCTGGAACTCGTTGGTATCGGCAGGATTTGAACCTGCGGGCCCTAGGATCAAAGTCCCGCGCCATCACGCCCATACTACCAGTGTGCCAGGTAAAACTAGTATGCATTTGACTGATTAACAATATGAAATTTCCAGACAAGTATAGGTTTTATATACAATCCCTTACGCATAACTCAGGTGTAAATTAAATACCATGAAATGTCCATTGTAAAATCTGTTAAATTTAAAGTGAGTGTGAACTATAAATAATTTGATTGTTTTTTGTATTGAAATCTGATTGAAATGACGATTGGTATACATAAAGTTTTGGCTATTAAAATATATTTTATAGTTAGAACTACTTATAGAATTTTAGATAGTTAGGTTGTGGGAGTGCAGCTGAGCCTACCTCCAAAACCCTATAAAACCTCATTTCAATCTTCTAACCTTTGAAGACTCTTATCACTTTGTTGTTTATTGAAAATATTTAACAAAACATTCCAAGCCATATTACTAATAAAACAGGTTACTACCAGTGAAGATGTATTTAAGTTACTTGGAAGTATGTACCATGTACAATTAATACAAACAGTAGAGCTCAACACATCACAGAAGTGATCGTTCATTGTTACCTTCAGAAGTAACTTCTGTACTATTGTTTCATCCATACTCATACAGGGTGATTGATATAAGTGTGCCAGCCATTTTATTCGAAAACCATAAGAGATATCAAAAAAAGTTAAATGGTAAGTGCCTTGGACTTTTTATTAAAAAAATTGTAGTAGAGTCGAAAACATTATTTTAGCCACCATTTTTCCAATATGGCCGCCAACTTTAATTTTTCTTATAGAACACGCTGTATTTTATGATGTATTCTGGTAGAAAATGTAATTTTAAGACGATTTTATTCTTGTGATTTTTTTCATAAACCTAACCGTTTCAAAGATAATAATGGTTTAAGTTGTGAAATTTGGAATGGTTTTCGAATAGAACAGCTGGCATGCTTGCTTAGGCCTTTATCGAAACTTTCTCATGCAGAAATTTCAAAACTTTAACCATTATTATATTTGAAACGGTTGGGGTTATGAAAAAATCACGAGAATAAAATTGTCTTAAAATTATATTTTCTATCAGAAAACATCATAAAATACAGGGTGTTCCGTAAGAAAAATCAAAGTTTGGAAAAATCCATATTGGAAAAATGGCGGCTAAAATAATTTTTTTGACTTGACTACAATTTTTTAAATAAAAAATCCAAGGCACTTACTATTTAACTTTTTTTATATCTCTTATTCAGTAGTTTTCGAATAAAACGGCTGGCACACTTATATCAATCACCCTGTATACAGTAGTATTGTAAGTTGGTGTCCCCATTAAAATTCACAATGATAATAATAACGATGATAAATATATTGACACTTGGGATTATAAGATTACTGGATTAGGTGCAATAAAACATATTGTTAAATAAGATTACATTTATTAATGTACCACTTGTTAAAATAATCATACAATAATTATTATTTGCTTTTAATTATTGGGATTTGTGTAAGTAATGACTTTATAGCTCGAATCTGAACACGAAAGATTAATGTAGTGAATCAATGTAATTATAATATAAAATCATAATTAAGCTGATTTCACAGCAATTCATTAGGTACGGGATTATTAAATAACACTGTTGTCGTAACTAATCTGTTGAACAGTTTATAAAATTAACTGTAACTAATTTAGTACATTGCGAGTATTGAATGTATTTGAATTGATTTAGTTTTCATAACGAAATCCTAATGTTCAGTAGAAGATTTTAGTCAGATTGCGCTGTACAATTGAAGGACGGACTTCAACAAAATTAATAGCATATCTGGTAAAATTCATTTGGGTTGGTTCCAAAAGTTTTTTGTTTTATTTGTGCAATGAATTTTATTTACATATCCAGAGTAAGAGACTTAGATTCTTGAATAACCAAGAAACACTAATTACGAATAACATATACTAGACCTATTGATACATGTAGGATTATACTAGTTAAAAAACTACATCATTATGTATTACTGTAAAATAAATTATATACTTATACCTACTTCATTTACATAGTTACATTTATGTTCTGAAACATTATATTGGACCTATATCTTTCTCGCTTGGGTCCATAATAATTAAAACAGGATGCACGTCAATTTTCAGTACGATGAGCACTCCTTAAAATATAATCACAGTTCACTTAAATAAAACCTACATTTAACTTATTAATTATTATTGATTACTTATAAATTAACAAATACATAGACAGAATAAATTAAATCAGCACACACACATACTTCAACCAAAATTCATTAACGCTCTAAAAGTTTAAGCATTAAGATTTTAAGTAGACAAACACTTGTTTCAACTCTTATATTACTTAGAAACATCAGTAAAATTACAGTTCTTGTACAAACAGACCGGCCGTTCGTAAAACTATTTCTTTGTCAAATATCACACCAATAAACAAATTTTTACTTACTGAAAATTGACGTTACAGATCTCAGAAAATTATATGTATGTCAGGAGAGTTGGGTGCAGTTCCATTGACTTTCCCTCCTTTTTCTGGAGGTTTTGTGGCTTGATTCTTTCCTCCCCCAACTTCAGGGGGGTTGGATGCCTGATTCTTCCCCCCTCCTACTCCAAGGGGGTTGGCTGCCTGATTCTTCCCTCCTCCTACTCCAGGGAGGTTGGCTGCCTGATTCTTCCCCCCTCCTACTCCAGGGGGGTTGGCTGCCTGATTCTTCCCTCCTCCTACTCCAGGGAGGTTGGCTGCCTGATTCTTCCCCCCTCCTACTCCAGGGGGGTTGGCTGCCTGATTCTTCCCCCCTCCTACTACAGGGGGGTTGGCTGCCTGATTCTTCCCATTTCCTACTCCAGATTGGTCAGCTGTTTGAGTCTTTCCCTTACCATGTTTGTCTTTGTTATTCTTTCCGTTCTTCCCATCGTCGTCATCGTCATCATCATCATCGTCGTCATCATGATGTTTCTTCCCCATCTTCCCGTTAGATCCTCCTTTGTATTTCTCCATCAGAGATATCCACGTATCAGGCTGGTGGGATTGGAGGTAATGGAAGAGCTTGTCCACGCCAAGACGTTGAATGTCGGTGCAGTTGGAGCAGTTGGTAACCAACGCGTCTGACAGGATACCTAGACAAAAATAAATCGTGAATAAATAGTCCATGGGCAAGTAGATTCTTAGTAGGTGAGAAAAGTAGTAGCAAAAAATATTTTTATTTGATTTTCCTAATCAATGTTATTCATTCAGGATTTATATACATTTTAAGTTATAAGCTGCAACCAGTTATTAAAATAACATACCACACAACATTTATCCATAGTTTGGCTTTGCATGGAGTAACGATGTATATAGTGTAACTATATAGTGTTAGACTATATACATCGATGGTGTGGGGAGAGATATCAATTATTGGAGAATTCTTTTGCTCGTGACACCTATATTTTTAATACTTAGATCGGTGAATACAAAAAGGGTGTGATTAAATCCAGCTTTCGTGACGATTAAATGCTTCCGGACAGAATATATTTTTTAATTTGACCACTGAATTATTAAAACGTCATAAATTGGTCCTCCAAGTACAGTATATGGTCCGATATGGTCGATTCTTCCAATACATTTTCGTACATTAATATAGATAGGTTGAATATTAATCATACTTAAGTTTACTAATTCCACACGTATGAGTAACAAAAGAGTTTCCCCAACAAACGAAACCAGGTTAAATGAAAATATTGAAACTCTGACAACCCACAAGGGGCACAGTACACACAGGGACGTATTGCGTATTGCATATATATGATAACAGTAAGATGAGTTATGACGTGCCTCGGTCGCCACAAGGGGACCAGTACACACAGGGACGTATTGCGTTTTGCATATATATGATAACAGTAAGAAGAGTTATGACGTGCCTCGGTCGCCACAAGGGGACCAGTACACACAGGGACGTATTGCGTATTGCATATATATGATAACAGTAAGATGAGTTATGACGTGCCTCGGTCGCCACAAGGGGACCAGTACACACAGGGACGTATTGCGTATTGCAAATATATGATAACAGTAAGATGAGTTATGACGTGCCTCGGTTGCCACAAGGGGACCAGTACACACAGGGACGTATTGCGTATTGCATATATATGATAACAGTAAGATGAGTTATGACGTGCCTCGGTCGCCACACCCCTTTGTATGTATGAGTCTATCACATGTCTCACGGCATATTCCATCTTATTACATGTCTGGATATGAGGGAGGTTATGTCAGGTGGTGAACACGTATGGGCTTGGGGAATCGGAAATATTAAAATGTGACAAACAACAAAAAATGTAAAACTCAGGGGTTTAATGGGTACACGTGATGAAAGCTGCATTGGTACGACTAAACTGTACAGCTGGTATTTGAACTTGAATATTTGTATACTATAACGAATGTAATTTAGACATATCTTTCTGTTGTTGTGTTTGCTAAGGGACTACATTCAAGCGAAACTACAATATTTTAAAACACCTACATTTAAATACCTTTTGTGCTGCGGTTTTATTTACCGTTTCTTCTCTTGCGTACAACCAACTAGTTCACTTTCAATTAATCAACATAATAATTTCTTAAATTATTTTTCGATATTATTATTATTATTATTATTATTATTATTATTATTATTGAAATTGGAACGTAGCCAAAAAATAAGAAGAAGAAAAATCGAAGAAACAAATGATCACTTTAAATATCTTATACTATTCCTGTAAGCAACTTGATAATTGTTTTGTGAGTAGAAAAGTGATTAAGACTCGTTAGATAGTCATGGCCGTAAATTAATGTTTATTAAAAAAAGTTAACATTCATCCTATGTAAAATTGTAATTCATTTAGTTAATACAACTGCCAATTAGACTGTAATGGTTGGACTTTACATTGTAGTCTAAAACCTAAATATGTATCTAAAAGGTTTTGTTAATCGAATTGTGATGTCCCATTGGCCACCGTAGTCTGTTCTAACTTTTTTTTGCCGTTGAAGTTGACGACAAAATACAATGAAAGTGAAGATTGTAACCATTTACTGATTAAATCTTTTTAAGATTTCTGATCTATTTATCGTTTAAATTGATTATTTATTGTATTATATCCGTATACCTATCTATCATATTTCATTATTCATTGCTTATTTATTAGCTTATATTGCCAATATAGTAGCCGTTGTATAAAAAAGTATACGAGCTCAACGTAGGCCATGTCATCATTAATTAGTTGCCTGCTGATATGCTGTTTAATATTTCCATCGTTAATAGCTATTATGCTGTTTAATCAAATCAAATCATCTTTATTTCGCACAGACAAACTGTATAATAGCGTCACAAGAATATGAAATATAACTAAATTAATATTTTTAGGTTTATCGAAGTTAACCTATATTTTAGATATTGACAAATTAATGTAATGCAATACTAAATTTAAAAGTTCAATAAAATAATTTCTTGATTAGCATTGTACGTATTATTAAATTAACGGAAAGTAAATAAAAGGAACGTCTTATAACACTTAAAATATATATTTACGCTTATACTGTTACTCACAAGACGGAAAAAATACAAAAAGATGGTATGGTAAGTGGTGATCGATTTCGATTGGACACTTTAATCATCATTAGACCCAATAGGCGAATTTCTGTAATTCGTTTAACAGTTAACAAATTATTCCACAAATTATTATATCGCCTACTTGAACTTTTAAATTTAGTATTAAATTTACCGAAGTTGTTTGATTCCTAACAATTTATGAAATGTTAGATAATCTTAATAACGATAAATATTCAATTATCAAAAGGTATATTCATGTTTTAACGAACGTAAAAAAGTAGGGATTTCTGTTAACTTATAATAATTTATAATTATTGACATTTTGGTTTGTTAGAGGTTAATGGTTAGTTTAACCCTGCTGACGAATTAACAGCACTGTTAAAACGTTTGCTGGATGTCCTGATTGAAATAACATTATTTTAATCGTATGTAAACAGCCATTTTATGTCGAATACGTCAACCTAACATTTAATCAAGCCAAATTATTCTGATATATGAAATATTTTATGCCATATCAACAACAAAAAACTGAGGAAGAAAATATGAGAGGTATAAAACCAAATCACACTTTATGACCAACTCATTCACTCATACAAATTTGGAAATGTGTCCATATAGATATAGACTAAACTAAATTACTCAAACACCATACTTACGTTTTATACTGGACGCATCCTTGTTGCAGATCCCTCTGTCCATAAAGCACCGGATGTAGTTCTCCCTGGACCGGGTGTTGTTCAGGATCATGTCCATCCGGTGAGAGGCCTCCTCCAGAGTGTGTGGTGGGAGGGGCGGAGCACCCATAGCACCTCCTAGGACACCCATCACCACCAGGACGTGCAGGGGAGTCATGGTTACTGTAGGTGCTGGTGGAAGTCTTCAGTTTATACCCAGGTCGTAGGTCCTTGGCCACTGGACCATCTCCAACCATTTGGTCATGGTTTGACCGACTTCCTGGTCACAACTGGGTTGGTAAAACCGTTGGGTTACTTGACAGATTTAATTGGAGGCCGTTGTTTGAATACTGATTAGTTTTAGAGTCTGAATGGTTCGAGGTTTTTCCTATTGGTTATGAACTTTAGACCATCTCGTACAGAAACTTACTGAATACAACAAAAATTCATTTAGGCCTATTGATTAAAAACACTCTGTTAAATAGCTGAATGTTATAAATTGCAAGATTTAAGAAAATAAATGCTTTGGAGTTGGGTATTACAAATGTACAGGCCTTATAAAATATTCTCATTCTAATGAGTATAAGACAATGGGAAATAAACATGCTATTTAATTTTATTTTACACACGTACTGCTCTAAACAGCCATTACTTAATTTATTTTCCTTTAAGTTACATCTTATCTGAAATAAAAACAAAGATAACAGACCAATGAGATACTATCTTTCATGGTGTTCACCTTGTATAATGTTGCTATCACCTTTAAATACTTCTTATATTACTGAATTAGGTAAACAAATTAAATGTACAGTTCAGGAGTACTTGAAGTAGGGACTAAGAAACGTGATCTGATCTGGACACTTTTGAGACAAAGGCACATAGATTCAATTAAACATAATCAAATCAGCGGCTTTCTACAAACAGCTTCCTACAATAAAGACAGTTAAATAACCCAAACAGATTACCATTAACACTATTAAGCCAAGTACATTATATTCTGAACTGCAAAATTCATCTTAAATTCTATTACTGGAACAACGTCCAATACAGTTTCACATCGATAAACACAAATCAATATTAGCCACTAAACAATATTCTAATAAGATTAATATTTATGTTAGTGTCAGGAGTTTATTTTTTAATTTTTGTTGTCTATAAAAAAATATGTCTTATTGTGTTTGAAGTTTTTTAAGTTACGTATTTATGTTATAATGTCAGGGTCAGGAGTCAAAATCTTTCAGTTTCGATTGTAAAATAAACATCACCTGCATTCTTGTAACCTCGGTCAGGCAACTGAACAACTTTCGCGTTTGGGTTTTGAGTTTCGAAATTTGTGATTCAATAAAAAAAATTCGGTTCCGGTTCGAGATTCGAAGTTTTCTGGTTTTGACCATCACTATTGAGCTATGCTGTCGAACACAACAATGGTCTTTTTAACAGCAGGGCTTTGCGAGGAGTAGACGAGTAGAACATCTTAACAGTGGCTGTTCTACACTTTAACACTTTAAGTATCCTACTAATATGCAACAAACGCTTTACACCACCATTAAAGCGTAACATTGTTGAGTTTAAAATGTCAGACAGCTTGAGAAAAATAACTAAGTCACGACTCAACTAACTAATGAGAACACTCCAGGACTTAGCGTAATGACAACGTTAGATTGAGATGCAAACACGGTTCTAAAGGACCACAAAGCTTATTACAGTAGAATAAAGTGTTGTTACTGTTCGTGTCCGGCATTACAAACTTGAGAAATATTTTCAACCAACAACTTACTTTGGTTTAGTTTAAGCGGGGGAACTAAAAAATACTAAGTCACTAAGTCACTTTTAGTTTATGTGAAGAATTCCATGATAAAAAAAAAAAAAAAAAACTTTTGTGGTACGTTGCCCTAAACTCAAACTCCACATAATATTTATTATTATTGTCATACTGCAGCATAACAGCCGTTTTTATAACATGCGTTGCGGTTCTAGAGTAGCTCCTTTTCTACCTATGGAGTAAAATCAGCTGTTGCAATCACATGTTTTTAAAGTATGTATTGATTGCTTAAATCGGTCGTAGCTTATTGTTGCATTCTTGTCAATAGTTCGACATATCGATCGACGGTATAATGTACACTAACACAATCGTAATAGATGATATAATTGAATAACAGCCACTTGTTTGCATTAGCAAAAGTAATAGAAGTCACTAAAAGTAATTTTGAGAATATATCTTTACATAGAAGTATTTTCAATTTCTAGCTTAGTTTGCATAAATAACGGTACTATAAGACGAAAAACATAGCAAAAGGTGTTTTCAACCCCGCTCATGAAATTTTAAGCTCGGGTCGAAAAGACTAAGTGATATCATTGATGAAATATACTAGAATCATTCCTAGTCATATAATGTTATTAGTCATGTGTTTGACAATGGTCAACTGTATGTAATTATAGTTATCGGTAGATATATTTAAAACTGAAATTTAACGAATATAGAAGGTATACTTTTAATATTTCAACGAAATTAAGATAAACGGAAAGCACGATGTGAACGTTGTTTTCCTGAAGATTTATGTAACAGGGGAGAAATACGTGGACTACGTCCTGATATTTTTTCTGTAAAACTGAATTCTTTTACAAACATATTTAGTTTGAAAAGTTATGCAAAATTAAATTCGCTATAGATTTATTTCAGATTTTTACAGACGACAATTCTCAAAGTCGATACGCTATTTGAACTTGCCTTATACTCTTAAGCAGTCCTAGAATCGTAGAAGTTACTTATTGAAACTTTTTATTTTTATCTTTTGCCACACGAGTTTAATATGACATTTTCGATTTTATAGTTACTGAGGTAGTTAAATTAATTGTAATTTTGGTACCCAAATTAGTAAGTAGGAAGATAAATCAAACGTTTATTTAATTTAATCGAGTAGTTTACGTGTTGAGTCGACGCCTTCAACACATATATCGCACTACTACAAACCAAGGCTGTGCATTTGCTGCAAGAATTTGTAGGGACTTCTTGAGCACACTCTAACGCTAAAAATACGAATGCAAGAAATAAAAATATTTTGTAAGACTTTTCGTGGTAAAGAATGGTCCACCTAGGGATTGGCCTACGATTGTTGGTTCGGATATTTAGGTACTCGAGTCGTAGGTTCGGTTTCTGTCCCTTATAGTTTTACAAACATGTGTTTGTATGTGGGTCTTATGCCAAAAATTTAATAACACATTAAAAACACAGTTGAATTTAACTGTCTATCGAGATTTAAAATGCAATAATGTTAATCAAGACACGAAATATTTTTAATTTTTGTTTCTAACATCTATTTTTTGTGCTGATAAACATATGATATCAAAATATTTAGTTTTATTAAATTTCATTGTAAAACTATCAACCTCACAACATTAAGTCAATGCTTAAAATGCCCTAAATAGTTTAACACTAGTATTTCCATAGTGTATATATTTTTTCTTTCGTTAGAAAAAATCAGATCGTAATTAATTAATCCATGTTATTGTTTTTGATGGGCTGAGAAAATATTAAGCTATTTAAATGGTAAATGAGTTTACCATTTATGGTTTAAAATAAACATAAATTGTGTTTAGATATAAGAATGTACGCAAGATCAATGTTTAAAAAAAGTAAATTGCGCAAAAGAACTATGTTTTTTCGTGTTTTGTTTTAGCAGCGTCCGGCCGAATTCCTTTGTTAGATAATCGTATTTGGTTTAGCAGACTCCATTTGGAAAATTGGAACGATTATACGTCGTACAAGGATGGATTCATTGAAGTATTATGTAATTGAAGGTCTTTCATACTTAATATTTAAAACATAAAACATTTCTGAGTTTTTTGGACTCAAACAATTGTAAAAATAATGCAGTGACAAATTATAAAGACAGTTCTTCCCCTAATAAAATTATTTGATCCAAGCCATTGCACTTCTAATGTATGGAATTTTATATACATGTATATTTTAACTATAAATAAGATATCATGATGTAGCTATTCCATTTATATTTACAACAAAACTACAGTTACAAAATACTGTACAGAAATACTGTAAAATTATAACTATCTTATTGAGCCACCGATTGAGTGTGCTGCTAAAAATATAGTTTTATTTGTTTTACACGAGAAATAACGATAAACAAATATTGTAAACCTGTCCCAAGTACACCCAAAGTACAACAATCTAAGAAAATACAGCTCAATGAAAATCCAACAAAAGTCTATGCTATTTGCAAGCAAAAGAAGGGCAGCAATTGATTCATGCAGTTAAGATGAATACCTCAGTACCTTAATAACTGATTCTCCGTTAGATAAGCGCACAAAATATACGCATTTGTTATTGTCAGGAAGCAATCTAGTGCACTTAAAACAAAATATTATAGCTTTAATTTGATACTTGATGATATATCATATTTTAGTTGAAATCAGAATAAGGGGGTTTGATGAAACCAAATATTTCTGGGTAATAGACTTTTTGCAAACATTATGGTTTTATTAGGGTATAGCTGACATACCAAACGTATAATTGCTATTCTGCACATGTAATAAGGTTAATATAAAATATCTATTCATATTAATCGATTTCAAATAAATTGAAACTCAAACATGCTAATGTAATTTCCTATTACTGTACCAACACGCTACATAGATGAATAGTTTATACTCCATAGCTATCAGCCTTTGTAAAAGACTATATTTGGATCGTAATAATGAAAACTTTGTTAGCCAACTTGTTATTAATGAGTTTGTAGAATTACTTTGTAGTACTGTTTGTTCCAATGAATATTTTCTTCCAATCGTTTATTAAAGCTGTATAATACAACGCTACTTCAACAACCCTGTTATAAAAGAGAATTTTTATAAACAATTTTGCTACTAAAAAATAATAATTCTTTTACACACATTATTACCTAGAAATCAAACCAAGGTTGCTTTATTTAAAAAAAGAGAGTTTCTGATGAGAGTTGTATAGAAATTCCAACGCCTTTAATTTTTGATTCAAATCAAACTGTAATTGGTCATTTTATTTCAGGATATTTTTCTCAAGTTACCTATATCAGTTAACTCATCGTCTATATGATACACTAAAATATCTCTCACAAAGAAAACGTACCATGCAAACGACCCAACGTGTAATGTTCAATATTTTATACGTTAATAGTTAAGGCCATCCGT